GGGGGGGGGGGGGGGGGGGTAGCCTACAAAACAGACTAAGCAGAGGATGACTAAATTGCATGGGTGGGTTGTGGGTCATACGTCGTGGGTAGTAGACAATGAAAATATTTAAAAAGAACTAAATTATATATTATCTAGATATTATAGTACGCTTTTGCTTAAATGTTCCAAACTATCCGTTTGCAAGTGCAAAAGTTCATAATGAAATATTTGTCAAGCTTGTAAACAAAGCATCTGGCAGGGTCATTAGAAAAAAGCAAAACAATGACACGGTCTGTGAATGCAATGAATTTGCAAACGAAGGTCATGGAAAAAACATGCTTATCTTGTTAAGCTTGGGAGGGGGGGGTGGTTATACTCGGAAGGCCTGAGCGTGGCAAACTTACATTTTGGGGTTTACAGTGCATTCTAAATCATGCATCATATTTTTTCAGGAAACTGAAAGAGACCAAAACTGAACTGAGTTCATTGAAAACAGAAAAGGATACACTAACCAAGGATTTGAGTGCAACAAAGTTCACTTTGGGTAATTGTAAGAATAAAAACATGGATCACGAGGTCCGAAGCTTGGAATTGCTTCAAGAGATTGAAGGATTGAAAAAGGAATTATAAAAGCATGTTAACTGTTTAATACTATTGAATTTGAATACTATTTGTTAATGTAACTATATAATTGGTTGCATCGAATGATGGTCACAGACAAAAACATCACATATTCTTATGTTTCATATTCTCTTGAATCTTTCATTGAAACTTGTCAAGAGCATTTGATTCCATTTAAACTTTTCACATCGTCCTTCGTCTCTGTTTATACATAATTAGCAACAAAAACAGAGGGAAGTAATTTGCAAAATAGTGAGGAATTTGTAGTTTTGCTTGTGATATCTCAAGCAAGCTTAGTAGAGGTTGACTTGGAGCAAGTCTAGATTCTCATCAGAAAATCATATTTAGCCTCTGATGCTATAAATTTGCTGAACTAATTGAAACATTTTATAATTTTGTGTGATTATAGACAATGTTATTGCTAAAACAGTAAATTAATTAATTCAATATATTAATTTTGATACTGTTAATATAAAATAAAGTGTTTGTGTGCATATTTGCTAAATTGTATTGACAAGCAAGAACAAGGCATCTACTCCAATGTTCACATGCTAAAGTAAATTATTGCATCAACACCACCGTCGGACTGCAGAATTGTGCACTTTTCAACAAGATCTTGGTGGGTGAATGTTAGAAAATCTAAGTACTAGGCAAATAGGAGTGCATCTTTTAAATGGTAGATTGCATTTATTTATTTTCCACACAGGGGGGTTGAGGACATCTTTTTACCAGTTAAATTATCCCCCTGGAATTTCTATGATTTCATTGCCAGATACACAGACCCTCCCCTGGCTTTTAGTAACCCCTGGATTTCCAAGGTAATTTAATTAATCAACTTTCCCCCTGGATTTTCCAATGTTCTCAAGCTGCCCCCCCCCCCTGTGCAGACAAGAATGCACTGCCAATGGAATAGGCGAATAACCCAATTTTAATATCGACATGCTCACATGCATCTAGGCACATGTCTATCTATAAAACACACTAACCTTACCCTTAAAAAGCCTCCACTGCAAATTTCTTCCCCAACGAAGGGCCTTCCCTCGAAGTTATGCTTGTATATTTTTTCAGGTAGTTGACAAGTCATCTCTCTCAAAGACTCAAACCACAGGCAGCTGTCTAGCCTGTCTTGCTATCATCGTTGCTACCCTGGCACAGAATCTCTTCTGTCCATACTGACAACACCTCCATCCACACAGTTTGTGTATTTTGTCAGACATTTTCAACAAAACAAGTAGAAAATGAACAAATAATTTAAATCCCTTGAGCAAAGCGCCATGTTGGATATTTTCATTTAAATTTTCCCGCCCAAAATATTCACCTGATTCGCATATTCTGCGGCGACTGTCAGGCGTAAAAATGCCGTAAATTGTTCGGCCATACCGTCGTTTGCACCTAATAATGAACAGGCGCACATAAAACGAACAGTAACTAGAGACCTAAAATAAAAAGTCTATGAAGATTTCTAGTAGATCTCTAGCCCAAAATCTTCAAATTATTGTAATATATTTTAAGTAGATTTTTATACAAAAAATTAAAAAAAAACAAAAAAACATTCTATGTTCTGAGTATTCTGCATGAGAATAAGGGCCCCCGCCGTTATGGACCTTGCTCTCTGCGGATGTTCCTCAAACAGTGGGTGGCTGGGTAGCATGGAGAGCAGTGCACGAGAGATTTTCAAAAATAATTTTGAATGAAAAGACAAAGTAACCCAAGACAAAGAATTCCTGAATAAATAACATTTTATCGTTTTCTTTTAAGGAAACAGTTCATATTCTAACTATAAATTCTAAAACCATTTAAAACATGGTCTAGATAAAATAAATTTAAATAAAATCCTTCCAACCTAGCCTCCTCCGCAGGCATCTCACCTGGGGAATCGGGTAGTCTAAAAAACAGAATAATTTTTCGAACACCCATTCGCAGGCCAAAATCATAGAGATACTTGCGGAGGGGGCTACGTCCAACCTCGCTATACGAGACTGTTCTAGTATGTTTTTTAAAACAAGTCGGTCCTGGCCGAATATTAGAACAATATTTACAATCTAACTTTAAAAATCGCCATCACATTTCTATAATCTGGTATATATTGGGCAGTTTTAACCAATAAAAAATAGGGCGTGGTCCTAATGAAGTCGTCATTAATTAAATATATCTACAGAATTACTAATTACATCAATTCTATGTTGGAAGAGGTTATTTCGCTGGCCTCAGAGTGACAAAACGTAACAAAGCAACGGTTTTACTAACACTAACGCTACTCCAAACACTAACTCTAACCCTAATACATA